ATTTCGGGCAAATTACAGCTTGAGAACACTGCTAATGCTAGAGTTCAAAACGTATGGTCTGTGTGCATATGGGTGTATCTTTGTGTATGCTCCTTGCAGACCCGGCAGTCAGCTCTAGAAATCTTGATTCGTCGAATTCTGATCTGGAATTTCTGCTTAAACTGTCCTCATCCCTTCAGAAGCTGTGAACGTTATTCATCAGATCAATGTCAGCTTCTTCATACCGAAGAGCGACAAATGCGTGAAATGAACTTGCTGAAAGTGCTGATTTTTCCGATACTTTTGATCATTTTCTCAATTGGGCTCGTTTTCTTCAGCCAGAGAAATGTACGAAGGGGCGCACCGGTTGCTGCTGGAGTATGGGGCCACTGTTCACGAACATATGATTCGATTACAGGAAGGCAAGTGCATATGTTTCGACTGAATTTCCTCACCGACTGGAATCGATAGTTAGCTTGCAGAATGCAGCTGCTTTCGCAAATCAAGAAAAATTTAAAAAGTCTGAACTTTTAAAAAATGAGTAAATAAAAAACTCGGGAAGTAATAAAATGTTTGAAATTTTCGCCAGTTTCCACCCCGGGTTGAGCTACACTCAAACAACCTGTCGTTCCTGTGTTGGCTAACTGCCGTTTGGATGAAACTGTACAATTGCTTGGTTTGCCGGGAGATATAAAACTTGCAAGCGTTGTTTTGATTCTTGGCATTTCCTTATTAAATGGTGAGGCTCAAACAGCACTTTCGAGAATATCTTTATTATAATTGTTCTGTAAGACAAGTTTTTGCTCGTTAAGAAAAACTGAGTGTTCCAGAATCAAAGCTTCTCCATTCCCACTTTTTTAAAGGAAGCTCGGTGAGGGGAGGAGGGCAATCAGGTACTCAGTCAGCTCGGCATTGTAAGCATTAATCTTTGTCGACACATGGAACTGGTTATATTTTAGTGAAGACGGAGGAACTAACATTTGAGAACGTCATCGAGCCATTAATCAGTGAAGAGGAGCAGGTTTTGTATGCATTTCATACACTCTGGGCACGAATGATTACAGACTGGCCGATTTCTGAGGAATTGGAAGCCGATTTTTTGAAGGTTAGTTAAGCGATAACTTGACGCCTCTCATGTCTGGCAAGTAAATGTGCACTACAATCCGCAGCCACAGATCACACTCAGAAGGGTTGACGCAAATTTCACAGCATAATTTGTGAATATACCCTTATCTTCACTATCACTATGCTGAAGGCAGTGACGTACGAATGCGAAATTGGTCACTGAGGGAGCTAAGGAGCAAACGCTGGCTCCGACACAAAAAAGTACAGAGCGTAGGAGCTTGGCGTGTTTCTTCGTAGCCATCTTCGAACAGCTAGACTTTCCGTCTGATCTGGGGCATGCAGAATATTATTATCAAATTCCGATGAACAGAACAGATTGCTGCTGATCGTGCCAATGAACGTCTGCTAAAAGAGGGCGGGCGACCACTCGGGCGACTCCCGAATAGGTAGCATATCGAACAGACTTCTGGGTGCTACCAACCTCAGGGGGTCGAGGGTACGGCATAGCTGTGTCTGATGCATGGAAACATCCCACTAGCAGCACTTATATGTGTTTCCCACACCGGCTCTCCGGGCGGCGGTCTTGATATTGTTGATGTGTAATGATTTCATCTGTAAAAATTTTGCAGATTCACGAGCTAGCAATCAATGAGGTGTCAGCCAAATGGAAGCATGGAGTTTTTTTCAATGCAATTAAGGTAGGCGTGATAGCGCGTATTGTTATTTATCATTTCTGTTTGGCTCAGCTAAAACACATCAACTCTTGTTGTGCTGTTTCAGATTTTCATTCAGACATTCCTATTCAGATTTTTATTCAGATTTAACTTACATTCCTTGTAAAAGGGAATCTTTTATTCCCTTACTTTTTACATAAATACACATCATCTAAAATTAAAATTACAACATTATAGGTATTCAGAGACCGCATCA